CGCTTGTAAGGGTCACTTTGCCCGTCACTTGGCTGATTACCATAAAACAGGCTTTTCACGATATTATTTAAATTTGAATTTTCACTAATTAGTGATCCGAGAGGTCATCCGTTTTAGTTATATAGTGGAAGCGTGACAGGCAGCGCGAACCCTGACACCCTGCTGGTGGCTGAGGACCTCGGACGCGGGCGCGGCGAGTGACAGGCGTCGTTGCCCTTGGCTTCAGCGAACGGCAGGCGCCCCTCCCCGGGTTTCCTCACAGCGAGCATGAGGCAATGCGAGGCGATGGAGAGCGCGAGCAAGAGGCAATGCTCCATTCAAATTCGGCAGTGTAAGGCTATCGAAGTGGAGGTGGAGGTCCACAAGGAACACTGCGCTGCGTCGAATGAAGTTAGCAAGCTTGTGTGCCAGGCGCTGATGGAAATAGCGAAGGCTATACAAGAGCGGTAGAGGGGAACGTCTGCCACAGGCCATTTTTCGGCTATGGATGTCACTCTGTTGCCACGCACGTGTCGTGTACTTAAAGCGGATGGAGTTCATTCACACTCGTAGTTAATTTCATGCCATGGGTTTGTTTTCAGTTTGTGTCCGTAGAGGAGTGGCAGATTGGCTGTCGTACACGTACTTCTGTCTGTATTTCCATCTTCTCCGTGAATTTATTCCATTGTACATTGTGGAGCGCGGAGTGCCCTTGTTTTTTTTACTTATTTGTTTATCGCTTCGGCCGTAGTTATAGTGTGCTCGTAATCGGGAGGCGGTCGGATGATCCGACCTGCGATGATGAACGTGGCGGGTATAGGTTCTTGGACGACCGTTTGATTCATTTCTTCAGTTTGCGAAATGGATACATAGAGAGAGAGAGAGAGAGAGAATTGGAAACTTGTTATTGTTGGCTCCTATTGCTGAATTTGGCTTCCAGCTTCTGTCACCGACGATGCACTTGTTCAATGTATGTGTTCCCTTGTCCTCTGTGTAATGGTTTGTGAAAGAGAGAGAGAGAGAGAGAGAGAGAGAGAGAGAGAGAGAGAGAGAGAGAGAGAGAGAGAGAGAGAGAGAGAGAGAGAGAACTTTGATATGCAATATGGTAGGCTGATATAATGTGAACGAGTTCTTGACAAAATTAGGTGCATGATATTTGCTTTCCTTGCAGTAAACACGTGTCTCAAGGCACCATGTCTTTCGTTTCTTGTGTCGTATTGAATGAACATTTGTTTAATCAA